CGATCTATAGTAGTTTTAGCACCTGGTTGAACAAGTGATACACCCATATCATCATTAGTACTCGATGAATGATTTAGAAATCTATATATAGGTGACCAATCATGTTCATCATTTCCTACTCGGTAATAATAAATAATCAATGAACGAAGATCATTAATGAGTATTGCATGCATATATCCAGGCTTAATACATGTTTATCGGCCAGTTGTATTCGCCTTTTCTTCACATATATCCGATGCTTTATCAGGTAAGTGTTGTTGCATTAACTTGAAAATGAAGAGATGAAGAATGTAAATCATATTGACATTGAGAAATCATCTCATTTGAATTAGTTACATATGAAGCATATAGTTCATCATTTCGATCATCAAAAGCTAGATAAATTTTGTGTTGGCACGTGAATAACAACGAAATTCTAATTGACGACGTCAACTAATCATTAACTATGTTGAATTATCTTGACCAGATTTTATAAATTTATAATCAACATAATCACAAGCACCTTATTAAAAAGAAATTTTATAATTGATTATTACTTATTAAAAATGATAAGATCTTTTTCTTTGTTTCAATTAGAACTTAGGCAAAATAAACTTAAATAAAATCATCTTTGCATGGATTTGATAATGCTGTCCAAGAAACATAAATATCATCACCTTTAGAATAATATGTGGATGGAACTTTTAAATCAATTATTTTTTGAAATATTGAACAAATAGAATTAGAAACTATGTTAATACTTCTATTAAAATTGAATGACATTTTCCTAAAGGACCGTTAATATGGAAATCATTTTCACTCCGAATAATAATAGCAATGCCAACGAAAACATAGAATAGCTAATAAAACAACATTATGAAGCAATTTTGAGTTCTTTTTCTCTTGTTTTCGACAATATATATATTATAAAAAATACACTGATGACATATCTTTTCTACTAAAACTACACATGATACTAAGTTAATACGAATTATTCATAGAATATCTTTTATCTAATTGTAAAACTTTCTTTTACATATTCATACTATGAAGACAAAAATATAAAGATTCTAGAAGACTATGATCAATTTTGATAATTCTTGTATTATCAAAGTTTATTAAGAAACACATTTTTCTTTACAATTATTCTAGTAGTAGATGGGTAATGTTTTACAAACAAGTCCTTTAAATTAATAGGATTATTTTTTAAATTCGATTAATTAAATTAACATGTTATTATATTGAATGTTCACATCGATGTGTTATCTTATCTAGAACTATGATGAATTTAATTTTTTGCTTCTAGACAAATCAATGAATGTTTAACTTGAAATCTTTGAATGTCATTCATTTCCTAAGAAATGAATTGTTGAAGAGCGATCATCAATTGACTAGAATTAGCAGCTGCGTCATAAAGAATGATATCATTTGTATTTCGTGTTCTTCTTTGTTGACTTTCGTTCTAGAAACTTGTACTAAGTCTCAAAAGATTCCCTCTTAAATTCTTTACAAATTGTTGCAGGATTATTTGTCTTAAAGTTCTAATTAGAAAAAAAAAGAATGAATAATAGTGCGCATCTCTAAAATATACAAATTTCTAGAAGTTTAATCAGAAAAACTTAGTTGCCTATTCTGTCCTTGGACAAATATGAAAATGCATCAAAGAAAATTTTGAAGTGCAATACAGTGAAATCTTTCTATTGATGTAAATACAATAAAGCTCACTTCAATCATCTATAATGATACACAGACTGACTTCTTGAAACTGGATCTAAAATAGTGAACAGTTTGTTTGTTTTCTGTCATTTTATCAGAGTACATAATTGGGTGTGGGTGTAGAATTTGTCTTCAGCCCACACCCCATTCACATACTCGACGTGTACCAGGGTAAGCTATAGTTTTCTAACCAGGAACTAGAATTAAAATTACAAAAAGAGTTTCATTAGGGGGGTGAAAAGATTCACATCTTTGATCAGTATTCATGTGATATGTTTTATAAGATAAAATGATCTAGAGACATTGTCGAATATGTCATTTTTACATGATTTCTTTTGCCAACATTATCTTTTTATTACATGAATAGTGTTCAAAAATTCAGCTTGATCGTTTTCCTTTTGTTTTGATCAAGAAATATTAAAACTAATGCTGAATTTTGTGTGAAAATAAGCAGGACTTCGTTTTATAATATGTATCTTTTGCTCAAAAGTTTTTCTTTATTATTCAGAAAACTACGGTTTGACGAAAAAAAAACAATTTTTTTTTGATGAAAATGATGTACTACAAGAATTACTTGAGATGTCATTGTCTTCACTTTTCAGAAAAACTCGTTTTCGCGAAACTTTTTGATGATGAAAGTAATATAATGTACAGACTTCTATCACCAACTTAGTCTTCATATGAAATGTGCTGAATTGCGAAAAAGTGTTTTTGATGTGAAAAATTAAGACTTTTTGGAGTTTCTACATCATATCAGAAGTGAAATGGATAAGTTAAGTTAAAGATAATTAACTGAAACTCAATCTTCTTTGACTTGCTTCATTCAAACTCGGATTATTTTGAAAAACTTATTTTCATCTATGACTTAGCAAAGAAAAGCGACTCAGGTCATACATAATTCTTGTAGGGTTTCTATACATTTTAAATTTATATTAGCCATTGTCTTGTTTTTGTTCTAATAAAACCTTTTTCCCATTATACAATTATAATATGAATCTGCTCTCAGAAATATGACATAACAAACTTGGATTAATAAATATACTTCAGAAGGAAAACACATTGCACACATTCTTTTGACAATTAAATGGTAAAAGTGGAATCAAGAAGTGATATTCGGGTATAATCGTTTCTCTTATAATTATATAAATTAAATAAAAAATTAACTAAATGATATCTCATGAATAGTTTTCTACATAATATTTAATGAAGTTTTGATAAAGCTGAAAAATAAACTTCTTATTGTAATGTAGTACTGTCAACAAGAGAAGGAGAACATGCAAACACTTCGGTAGTAAGAGGAAAGATCTTGAATGAGTTGACTTCTAAAATCAATTCACAATGATTCTGGAGTATCTTCTCATTAACAGATGCAATTACTGAGAAAGTGCATCAATGAATCTTTGTCTTCTCTTCCGCAAATAATCTGTCATCCAACTATCAGTAGATGAATAATTGAGGAAATGAGAAACTTGTGTCTTACATGATTCTTATAATGAGGATTTTTAAAAGAAAATACACAAAAACTATTTTTTGAAAGAAAATGAGACTTGTTTGATATAAAAGTAGAAGTTCAGAAAAGTGTTCACTTAACTTTGATCGTTTTCTGAAAGCGGTTTGTGGCACATTTTTTTATTATATAAAACTATATTAATGTTATTCTTCATATTAATCATGAAGGATAATTTGCTTTCATTCAAAATTTATAGTTCGATGAAAAAACAGATATAGAAAAATTATCAAAAGCCTATCACTTCAATACTATTTGTATTTAGATCGCTCGTATTTTTCGACAGAAAAAAATTATTAATTCAGAACGTTTTCAGAAAAATCAAAGGATGATTTTTAAAGACATTTTTTGAGAAATTTGTCAGGAGATGAGTTTTTGTTTATAGGATACAAACCACAAGTAAGTCATATGGTTTAACGAGTAGTTCATCGTTCGATGACTTTTTAAATCATATCAAATGGAGAGTTCTTCCTACCTCTTTGCACTCTACCTTATCTAACATTTGTATTATGTACTTCATTGTAGATGAGCAACGATGGAATATCTAATATGAGTCAAATACAAATGATGGTGAATTTGATCGAGTCATTATTAGCTATGATTTCTATACAGAATCATTTGAAGAGGACAGTGAGTGTCATTATTTTCATATATGGTCATCATAGTATTATTAACATAATTTTAGTACCATCTAATGAATGCTATAGGCAAAACGTAGTAGACGCAGTGAGGGCATTACTGAACATTTCTGGCTATGTGTATTGTACTGATCGTAACAAAGGCATCAAGCAAATGCGCCCATCAGGTACTGAAATATCATTTGAAATCGGTGGATGTGTGAATAAAACAAGTAAGTGAAAAACAAAATAGTATTTTGATTTAAAGTCATTTGTATTGTTTTAGCAAATACATCAGTATTTCCAATTGGATCTCGATGTGCTTCACAATCTTGTCAAAATGGTGGTATTTGTTTTGATTTTTCATCGGCTGATGGTTATCTTTGTCAGTGTCCTTATGCAAATAAGGATCTTCATTGTCATCTTCTTTACAAGCCATGCCCTGAATCGGAATGTGGTGGCAGAGTAGGAAGATTTGTTCCATGGTGCAAGCCTTATACAAATGATATGGCTCTTGATTACGTTTGCTTTTGTTAGAACAGCACCCGTCAGTCAAGTGTTTTGAGTTACGCCGCTAATAACTGTTTTACTGATGAATTATTTGTTCTAAAATGTGAAGAAGACCCTCCTGTTGGTACATTACCATTTACCAATAAAGAATTTTCTAATGTGTTCTTGAAAAAAATAAATTGTAAAAGATGTTTTGTTTTGATTATGTACATTTTTTTGGCATGCATTTTATGGAATATCTAAAAATATAGCAATCCATATCTAAATTATAGCAATCTATATCTAAATTAATACAGTAGTATCTATTCCGACGAAAGAATGCTAAAAAAGAAAGGTTTGATCGAATT